AATAGCTGTTCCCTAGCACTAACTCCAAACGCCTTCATGAGTTGAAAATGAAAAGTTTTCGAGGTACTCTCGTTTACTAAATGTTTAAATATCGCTGCTTGGTGTGTAAATCAAGCACTCCATGAGATTCAAGACACTTGGTGAAACATCCCACCGTACAGTGTAGAAGTTTTGTGTTTCTAGTGAATTTAATAATGCATTAATGAAAGAAAAAAAAAATGAATCAGGCGTAGCTAATATGTGTGAAAAAATAAACTTTTCCTCAATGGTTAAAACTTCGAGAATGCATATTTGTGAGAATGATCGTTTCAGTACACTAATAAGTTAGGGTTTTAATATACAGGGTTACTGGTAATTTGATATATTCCTTTGGATATGTGATAGAGGAGAGGTGGTGAGGAGTGAATTTAACCCTGAGAGTTGATGGTTTTTGAGATATTTGAATTTTTCTGTTTCCCTACAGAAGGTAAACTTTGAGGGTTTAAAGTTAGTTACCCGATAAATTGCAAAATACAAACATGTATTTTCGTTTGTTACTTGTAGATTTAAACACTTCAAAATTTTCAGAAAAATTTCTGAGCCCCATTCATCAAAAATTTGCAAGAACTTCCTTAAGGTAAGAGCACTGGGTACAAATAAAACCAAAAGTGCTATTGATACGGGTTTGTTAATGAAAAATTCTTTGTGGAAAGGATATTAACTTTGATTTCTTTTATGGAACTTCCTATATATTTTCTGACATGTCGATAGAGCCTCTTTTTTTATTTCAAGAATATATATATGAGTTGCATATTAGGATGAAAAATAATTGAGGTATTGCTCATCAAAGTTTACCAAAGTACCAAATCTTCCATTCAAACTGTCTATTCATATTTTTTGTATTGAGATTGAACGATTTCAATTTCACAAAAAATAATGTCAGGACATTTCTATGGAGCTTGAACAATATATAAACGTTATTTTGAAGCCCACCATATTCAACTCACATTAGATGATATGAAGTGAAGGTTAATAATGCGGTATTTTGATGCATTTTGATCATCAATTACTCTTCTATTTTTCATCCAAATATGTATCGACATGTTGTGAAATATAAAGGGTGTTCCATTGGAAAGAATCAAAGTTGATGTCCTTTCTGGAAAAACGAATGACCCTGTATATGAGAGAACTTTACGAAATGAAAGTTTGGGTCGTTTGACACAACTTTTTCATTCAACATTTTTTCATATCTCTGAAAATAAAAGAGTTAAGGGGGGATTCCATTTCAAGAGGCGCACCCTGGTCCAGGGCAACATCGGTTATCCTGTGTATGAGGTATATTTACTGGGGTTTTATAAACTAGCGCTTCCATAATGACTCCACACATGATAATCAATAATGGTTTTGCTTCTAGAAGTTCAGAATTATTCATATGCTATTTGGATGCCTCGAGCAAATAAATGAAAATAGAAAACAAACTGTTTCTGAATCTCCAGAAATAAATACAGTTAGGTATTTTTGAAGTGTTTTTTACTATCAATTTGAACTAACAAACCCGTGTATCAAGCACTTCCAGTATCATTTGAACCCAGTTAGAATAGCTATTGCCTTCAGGAAGTTTTAACAAGCTCTTGAAAAATGTGACTTTTCTAAAAATATAACCGCTAGAAAGTGTTAAAATCCACGATTCACAAAAAAAATACGAATTTGTATTCACAATTTATCTATGATCTAAATAATTTCTATTACCTACTTCTTCATTTCAAACATAAGATCATTTTGTTTATCATATTCCTATTATAGTTGAAAGGTCTATAAAATGTACAGCAGATTCTCGGGAAACAAATTTTCTTACCCTTAAATTCTACATTCTGGAGGAAAACTTACCCCCTCCCTTATCACATCTCTAAGAGAATGTGTCAAATTTCTAGTTAGTCTGTAGAATGTTTCCTCATGATGATGACTTCTAAGATGACATATTAACTATACTCAATGAAAATTATAATAATGATATATCATACTTAAATTCCAAAGAAGTAGGTACCTCATTTTCATAGTATATGGAACTAAGGAATGATATCTTGAGTCATTCATCACATGACTAATTGTATAATAGTGGATTTTGAGCAGATATAGTTGAGTAAGAGTATTACTCAATTGCCTTGCGTTCAGATACCCCATGAGGCAATAAGTTCGAGATAAATTGCTTTAGGATGATGGAAATAGATCATATTATATTGATGAAGGTGGGATTAATGAGACACTGTGCGTTGGTTCAGAAACTTCATGAAGTGCTAAATTACCATACATAATTCAGGAACTGACAACAACCCTATGTCCTCTTCTAGAGACTTATGTGTTTGAGTTCATACGCCCGAATACTGAACCCATTCGAAACAGTATGGGCTAAATTGGAAACCCAAGTTTTCTGACTTGACGGTTCGATTATTAGAGAATAAGAAACTGTGTCTTGAGCAGATTATTGATCAAACAAATTATAATCGTTAGAGATGATTGTGCAATGGTTGCACAACACACCATGAATATCATAAAATGTCATGCTATCGTTCAATCTCAATTCTTCATTCTCATTTGGGGCCTTCGTTGTGGGCAAATTACAAGTAGTGATACTTCCTGAATGATTAGAACTGACGCTTTATAAATAACGATCCAACCGTAATCCATAGATGCAAAAGTTCAAGTAGTTCGATTTTTTGTTGTGTTGTATCTATACAGTGTGTCCATTTAGTGCGTAATTCTTCGATATCTCGAAAGCCATAACCTATAGAGAAAAACTTTGGATAAAAAAGTTTTTCAGTTACTAAAGTTGCTCATTTCAAAATTATTTTCAACATTACTGGGTGTTTAATAGAAGCAGGGCAACTCGAAGAAGTGTTTTTTTAAATGGAACACCCAGTGTTGTTCATTCGGAATCAATTCCGTCGAGGTTCACCTTCACATCGCTGTAAAAAGAATTGAAATCGGTTGCGGCGTTGCCAAGTTATAATTGATAAATCTATTTTTACCATTATTGAAGAGTCATTTTGAATTGGGCATGGTATATTCATTTATTCAGATTTTGAAAATATTTTTGGCATACGGTAGGAGCAAGGTCCAACGTATACCAATCCAGTTATTTTGCGACATGTTCTTCAACAGGGTGCTCAATTTTGCATTTAGAATTTTGCAAGATTCAGATGACATTCATCAGAATTTTTCAAATGGAACACCCTGTATTTTTATTCAAAAATTCATTTCGACATCTTTCGCCTTTTTATCGCTGGAAAACAAATCGGAATTGGTTGCGACGTTGTCAAGTTATGGTTGATTTCCTTATTTTCACTACCATTTCGGGGTAATTTGTACGTCATAGTTCTTTCATTTATTTGTATTGTGGAAATATTGCGTTGCTACGGTATAATCAAATTTGTTTATTGACCATTCATATATTTGTTTACAAAAGGAACATTTACAGGCTCTCCAAGTTTGAATTTTGTTCGAAATATTTGTGTAATGACCTGTCAAACATCTGTGTAATGACCTGTCAAACATCGCTACAATCAAATATATCTTGGATTGATTCGACATTTCGCTGAATTTCCTCCCAAGAGCCGCGTAGTAGAGACATATTGTTTGTATCATTATGTTTACCTTCTTCAAGGAGAATGGAGATTTGGATTGTGGGAATAACGACAATAAAAATGGCCCAAATTTAAAGAAATTCTCCTAATTTTCGCAATCCGCATCTCCATTGTTTGTATTGTAGAAGTTATTTCAAAGACAGGCGTTGCTTTTGGCATGTTTGTTTGTTTCACATATTATTTGAATCATAAGTAGCAAGATTACGGAATATTTCAATTTGGACGATGCACATATCACAAAAATACCTGAATGATCTATGTAGAACCTCGAATGTCATGTGGCAAGCAATATTCCCACACTTAAATCAAATTAAGGAACCATCAGGACGAACAAATTACCCCGAAATAGTAGTAAAAATAAGGAAATTACTCATAACTTGAAAACGCCGCAACCGATTTTAATTTTTTTTTTCGCGATTGAAAGGCGAATGATGTCGAAATAAATCCGTGATGAAAAATACAGGGTGTTCCATTTGAAAATTTCTCATAATCGTCGTCTGAATCTCACAATATTCAGAATGTAAATTTTAGCACCCTGTAGAGGATTATCTCGCAAGATTACTGGATTGGTATACGTGAGACCTTGCTACTACTGTATGCCAAAAATATTTTCGAAATTTCAATAAATAAATATACCATACCCAATTGAACATGACCCTTCAATAGTAGTAAAAATGGGTTTATCAATTATAACTTGGCAACGCCACAACCAAATTCAATTTTTTTTACAGCGATGTAGAGCTGAACTCGAGCGGAATAAATTTCGAATGAACAATGCTGGGTGTTCCATTTGAAAAAACTCGTCTTCGAGTTGCCCCGCTTTTATGGAACACCCAGTATCGTTGGAAATATTTTCGAAATGAGCAACTTTAGTAACTGAACAAGTTTTTCCTCCAAAGTTTTTCTCTTGTAATAATTAATTTCGAGATATCGAAGAATTACGCACTAAATGGACACACTGTAGAGGTTTTATTGAAAACTTGATTGAAAAGCTAATGTTATCGACCTCGCCAATGACTTCTTCGACCTTGTTATAGTATTTTCGAAGTTTCAGCATGAAGAACTGGTGTTCCATTTGGAAAATACCAGTTAATGAGGAATTTTCAGGTTTACGATGCTTTTTAAAATTTTTTACTATTATATTCTGAATGCCCATAAAAATACATCATTTTTGCCCATTCGAGCGTTTCTGCAAGATTTCCTGAGATTTTCCCGAAGAAGGTCTGTGCTTTGGAGGTTATGATAGGCCATCTGTTTCGATTGGTCAGACTCTTCGCAATGCGTCCCAATACTTCATCAAATGCTAATTATTCATACAGGTACTTCGAAATGATATGTTGGCGCTAGAAACTAACAAATTAATCACTTGAGCGGCGATCCTTATAGATAGATCTTGAGGAAGATGGCGCCCAGAATGAAGGATGCGGACGCCAGAATGGTTGAACTACCGTTGCAGTTGTCATTTTGACAGGCACAGACTTCTTGTCGACCTCCAAAGCCGGATCTTTGGTAGCATCGATTGGCGTAAGTGGTGTCTTCCCACCCACAGCTCCTGATTACTCTGCTTTCGGGTTGTACTGAAATAAATAAAAATGAAAACATGATCAAAAATACGAAACTTGAAGGCATTTCCACAATTGTTCACGCAATAAACAACAATGGTTAATGGCGGGAGAGAAACGACTACTCTTCTGGCTAATGCCACGCAGAACATTGAATCACCTCCTCCCGGAATCTATGTATCGAGTATGAACGAATACTGATGCAAGTTGTTCCTTCATTGATGTCGATTGATTTCCATTCAGCCAATCTATCTCACAAGCCTCTCATAGGGGATAACTGCCGGTTACCTATCTTTCGACTCATGCCGACAGCACACCCCAGGAAGAAATGGAGGATTTGGATACGCCAAATCAGCGCACTAGAGCCATCTTCGTTATATAACGGCATGTTCTCTTGCTACCATTTTATTAAACCAATGGTGAGACAGACGGTCAGTGCAGTGTCAGTGCTTGAGCAAAAACGCTGCTCACCCGCCGAGGCAGGCAAGATATCTTACCACTTGACCCATAGTGGGATTCTTCTTCACCTTCTCTACCGTAGTCCGGTTTTTTTTTGAAACCGCTGCCCCCTGGAGGCCAACCTGATTGGTGAGGCATCAGGCGGTATGTACGACCTGTTGGAGCTATCCTCATCATCCCGGGTACCCATGTCAACAATATTCCTTTTGTTACGTTTGATAGGTCACCGTCGCAAGAGGCATTGGCCTGATTGCTACTCATGGTGACAAGGTTCCTCTCGTCCCGTTGAATGAGTGATCGTTCGAGGACTTACACACAATCCTCTATCTCGTTTACAGGAGAGGACCCGGCTTCGCCTACGATAACTGGCGGTAGGATCGCTTGAGGCTGCCCCCTCAATGAAGAACTGGGCACAAGGTACACCAGAGTTCCAGTTTTTGCTCAGCAAGTCTAGCTACCCATGTCGACCGGCATCCTCCAGTCCTATTCGATGGGTGTCCGTCCGCGGCCTTTCACACGTACCGCTACCATGACGAGAGTGGGGACCTCAAGCTTCTAACCAGAGGTGCCTATAATCACCTGGAATCACCCCTACTCGACGCCGTGAGTGCATGGTGAGCTCACATTTAGGCAGGTGAATGCTGGACACCTTCAGACCAGTTTGAAGCTTTTGGCACTTATCAGTTTAGGTAGTCTCTAGCTAGCTGTCCTAAGACCGCCAACAAAGCGTACCGAGGCTCAACCAAATGCAATCAGCAATATTTGTAGTCTCAGAGGAATCTCCCATGGGCCACATGAGTGTATCACCATCCCAGGTAACACGGATCTCTCCGCGATATCTCTGAGTAGTTATCATCAGGATCAAAGTGCGAAGTCCTCGTTACAAGGCGATGTTTACGGATTCTTGAACAACTTATAGTTGCGAGCACTTGGAGTTCTCCATTAGCAATTGATGCGAACTTCCTCGTCAGAGGGCTTCGTCTGTGAATATCTCGAAAAGCTCGTAGTCGTAAGCACTTCAAGACCTCGCAAGTGGCGATTGATGCGAATATCTCGAAGTGCTCGTTTGAGGGCATTGTATGAGAATATATGCGTGGGATATCTTTAAGACCTTGCTGAGCTCATCCTATGCGGCGGACATTTAGAGGAGATAAAGCGCTCTCGGCGATCTCTTAAAGAAGTTACAAAGGGCATCACAATTTCTTAGGAGGATTTCTTCGAGAAATCTTTAGGACCTCTTTCTGCTACCTGGGATCCAGACTAGAAGGAAAGAAACACTCCACAAATCTGAAATATCCACAAATGGGGGTGGCTGATTGAACGACTGGCGTTATTTCAACTGAGAAAGAGTCATTTTACTTTGAGCATTGTGTTCTGCGTGGAATTACCCAGGAAAGTAGTTGTTTCCCTCCTGTCATCTATCATTGAACATTATTTCTGGAAATGACTCCGAGCTTTTTTGTATTTGTAGTTGATCATTATAGAGGAAGAAATAGTATTAGATTTCAGCTCGAGGTTGTGTTGTGATTACAAAGAAAACTGAATGTTCGAAAAATTAGCACAGTGCATGTGCACTCCACAATTGTATGCAAAGAAGTTGATCGTGATTCACCTTGTATTGAAATATGAGGAGTTGATGTAGCTAGTGGAATAATCATTTGATGGAGGAGCACATAGAATACTCAGATACGAAGTTTCATCGTTGTATCTTCTACAGGAAGATCTCTCTGGGTCAACCAAAAATTAATGAAATTGAAGTTGTAAAATAATGTTTTATTATGATTCAATTTTTTTTCTGGCAATGTGAATAATGGTAACTAGTTCCAGAGAATATTCTCTATACATCACAATTTCCATTGTTTTCTCTAATTCCCTTCCATTTTGCCAAAATCGGTATATTATTATGATAACATTTAGTATCAGTAAATCTCCTTGCAGTCTTAGGACAGTGCTTGTCTCTCATTCTATTTTTATTATAGTCGACAATTATTTTTCAATCGAGAAGATTTACAGAGTAACTGTGTGTTGAAATTTGTGAAAAGCGGTTTACTTGAGTTATCAAAATGGTGAACCTCAACTTTAGTTTTATTGATTTTTGGTTGACCTAGAGAGATCTTCCTGTAGAAGTTACAGCGATAAAACTTTTTATCTGAGTATGCGATGTGTACCACAGAATGACTACTTCACCAGTTATTAAAACTCCTCAGATTTTGATACAGGGTGAATCGAAAAATATCAAAATTTGCCATTGAATAACTAACACCCTATATGAGATTATGCGTTCAAATTTCGTATGGCGGTATCAATGCTATGCTTGAATCGAATAGGCTAGTCACTGTTCTGACAAAAAATGTCACAATTGTCGTTTTTGAGATTTTGACCCTTCCAACAATCAGAAGTAGGCCTTGAAAATCCGAATATTTCAGATGTGTCCCTATTTTCGAATAAAGCTTGTTGAGTACTACCTATATTATGAAATTTTTGATTCTGAAAATCGGTCGACGGGTTCCGAATTAGAAAGGGTGTGGCGGGTTGAAATCGCACACACTGTACACATATCCGGGAAAAAAGTAATCACTTTTTTTCTCGTGTAATAGCAATTTTTCTAACAAGTGCGGAAACTGATTCTTTCCCGCCAAGCGGAGTTCGGGCAAGCAGTCGAGTGCGGGAAAGACACTTTCCCGCACTCGATGAGTAAGGAACAATATTTTTTCTACAAACATAGGAAATTGATAGATTTGTTCAATTTATTATCCATGCATATAGGAACAACTAACAGGAGAAATATATTCTCTATCTACTGATTATTATAGTAATAGCAATTGTTACCTTACAGTTGGACGCATTATGTAAAGGTTCATTGCGGAAGCCAGCAGGCCCATAAGGTATTTGGTCTCTAGGTTTCAGACACTTCTAAGAAATGAGCCGAAAATACTTCTTCTTTATTCGGTATTTTCATTTATTTATTGTTGCACGATTCAATGAAACGCGTGTATAGCTTTTCATACCTTTTTTAAGACTTCGTTGGCAATAACGCATCTGTATCGCATCCCTATAGTTGGAAATTTTTGACCACATTGTGGCAATTCCACTGAATCGAAAATGACAGTAACGCTGTGTCTGTCACTTCGACAATTACAAACTAATGGGTTGCGTGCAATAACTGTCAGATGACCGACGCTGGAGGCACAACATTGAAACACACCCTCACTTTTCTCATTTGTTTACAAGTGATCGAAATAGGCATATGAATTGTATTTTCTATTCATCAATTCGCTCATACCATCACATTGTGCTGTTGTAAAATGCACAAAAACTGCAGCGATAGATGAAGGAATCCGGATGGTACATTATGATTTAAAAGTAAGTACCTACTATAGTCACACACATATAGTTTTCATTTTGAAAATTCGGTTATTTCTCTGATTTCTCATCGGAATTCCTTCTGCACTAGGAGCTGAAGAAATACACCTGAAATTTCTAAAATAACGCAAGAAGATTGTATGCATGCAATCAATCGGGATGAGGACTGGTCTGACATGCTGACGATCGTGTGTGTTGTAGACATTTCCAATCTATAGCAGTATTATCTTGTATTGCAGAAGTGGTCGAAGGCAGAATGAATTTTGATAAGGAATGACAACATTTCCTAATGATAACTATGTGAGATTACTATTTACCTGAAAAATCATATGCTGCACTTGCTGCATTTTTTGTGCATTGTACACCAGCAACAATGCGAAGGCATGCTTGAATTAATAAATAGTGCAAGAAACACGATTCGTATGCCAAAATATTGTGGATAACTAAACTTGTTGTTCTAAAATTGTTCTAAAATTGTTCTTATCCGTCATTCGGTTGCCCCCTTACGAGCAACCCTCAGAAGTCTTCGAAAGACTTGTGCGAGCAAGGAATGACGGGGGCCTTACCTTTTAACTATTTCAATCCTTTGATTCCTCTGTAAACAAATAAAAAAGTGAGGTCGTGTTTCATTAATTCACAGAAGAGTGAGGTTGTGTTTCAATATTTTGCCTCCAGGGTCGGTCATCGTGCACGCGACCTATTCGAGGTTTGATTGGCATGACAACAATAATAGTTTTCCATCAGATCAATCCAAATTTATAGGGGGATTTTTAGTGACATTTTTCAAAATGTCAACAGAGATGAAATGTCAAACTTTCTCTTCTTTTCTTTTATTTTACTGTTGTCATGATAAATAGATAATACCTAACAAAGAAGTCTTGTATTCGACGTCATTTTACAAATTGAAACATGAATTTTTTCAGCAGTTGATTTTTATGCACTTCAGGGATTTGAAGGGTACCTTTATTTTCTATTTTCGGAGAAAAAAGTAGAACTTCGCAAATTCCTAGGGATTCAGAGGTACTACTTTTTTCCCCGAAATCTGGATCACCATAGTTACTGAGGAAGTTGATATGGTAACAACAATCAGCTCCTTCGATGACGTTTCAGAAATAGAGTACCTACCGTTAAGTGGCATAACATTTGTTTTCGTCATTTTCAACGTTTTACCTATCCTCAGGTTCAGGTGCATAAAATAGTATATACACCTCAGGACTGAAGTGTTTTCAAATTTCTCGACAAATCATAGCCCTCTCGTTAGTCGGGCTATAAACTCTTTGTCTAGGGATTCAAAATACCACTCCATTCCCTTATAGTGCATAATATACTATTTGAAGTTCTATAGTATATTACCAATATTTAATGACTGACAATAATATCATTTTTAACATCCAATGTCAAAACTGACAATCTTGTTCAATTTACGTGTATACAGGATCATTTACCAAATACCAAACACCCACAGTTCATTGCAATGCGAAAATTGGGGTTTCGGAAAAGAAGTTCGCATCGAAAAGTATACCTGTCGAACGAAAAAAAAAAAGAAAAAACATTTTCCTACTACAGCAATATTGTCACAAGTATAATTCTCATCATCGGATGATGCAATTTCGTATCGATGAGAATCAAAGTTCTTTCTCATAGAACACTGAGAAAATCAATTTCGCCCCAGTTGTGGAGATCCAACTTCAAGATGACAAAAGCCCCTGGACATTGAGTTCATATGATATTCGAGTGCATTGGGGTATTTGTTTTCGATGGGGTATAAAAAAAGTTGGGGGGAACTGATATCTTTTCTGGTGTATACTCACATCCATTTACTTCGAAATCGATAACCTGCTTGATTTTTCTGCACAGCGAATAGGGCTTCCCCTTCCTCTCCGGACAATGTTTCCTTAAGTCTTCTGTAAGTATGTTCTTCGCATCACCGAGGCATCGCTTGTCATTGGCGCTGTTGCATTCATAACACGAAATCGCACTACCTAAAAAAAAAAACACAAAAATGATAATTATAATGATAATAGTAATAATGAATCATTTATTCCACTTTTGATAATACAAATATGATATTGGAATAATCAAATTGTCAGAATCAAAGATTCATAATGAGAAAAATCCTCCTACACTGTAAAAACATTCATCTACTAAAAAAGTTCTCATCCTACGTTTGAATAAAGATATAGAATTACTATTTTTCATTATGTCAGGTGAATGATTGGAAATTTTTGGCCCAATATAGTTTGGAGCAACATAAGTTAATTTTGAATTCAGCATATGGTACATGAAAAAGATCTTTGCGGCTTCTATCAATTTGATGAATAGCGCTATTTACTACAAAATTTTGTTGGTTTCAAATACATTCCTAATAACACACTTATGTCCCATGGATATCCTTTGGACGTCCTGTCGGGAGATTCAGGACGTCCATAGGACGTTCAAATTTGGTACCGTGGACGTCCATTGGACGTCTGTGGGACGCACGAATGTCCCACTTGAGGACCAACTAGGCACGTCCTTGAGGGATGTCCCTGGGACGACTATCGAATACCTAAATCCTACAGTATTCCTTATCAAGCACTACAAAGGACATCCTTAGGACATCCATAGGACAACCTATCAGCAACGCTGAGGGATATCAATTGGATGTTCATGGGATGTCCCAGGGACGTACGAATTATTCTTGAATTCGAATTTTTCTGGGTCCCTCTAGGACCAGTTCTTGCATAACTGATTAGGACATACAGTTGAGTTGATGGTCCGTAGTAGGTCCCCAAAAAGTTTCCCAAGGATGTCCAATGGACTCACGTGAAGGACATTGATGAGGAGTACTTATAGCCTACGAGCAATCATTCGTCGGCGAGGTGTAAGTTAACGTCCTCGCAGGGACAACATATTGAAAGTACCGACTGGGACGTCCATAGGACGTTATTTCTAGGACATTGGAATGGTACAGTTCATGTACCAATTGGGACATCCGACAGATATCCCTAAGGGACATTCGAAGGATGCCCCTGAGGGACATTTCGATTGTTATACGATCCTGGAAATATTGAGGGCGTCTGTGCCAACATATTTGAAGGAATATACCATCAGGGACATTTCATGGTTGTCGAAAAGGGACATTATATAAGATCTGAAGTCATGCCAGAATATGTATTACTCGGGACATCCGATAGATGTCCCTGAAGGAACGTTTAAAATCATATCCCATCAGGGACATGCCAAGGACGTCCTTGCATGGACATTCTACAATATGTATCACGTGGGACGTCTAAGGGATGCTATTTCTAGGAAATTTGAAATGATGTACCAGCTGGGACATCCCGTGGACGTCCTTGCTCGGACATTGCATGAAATGTACGGGATGGGATGTCCCAAGGACACTCATTTTTGGTTCGGAACATTCGGACGTGAATTGTACCAAATAGGTACGTCCCTAGGACGTTGTGTGCTATCAGGGATGTACACATGTTTCAAATATGAGAATACAAGGCAATGTCAGAATATGATACTGAAGAAACACGTTCCTATGAAAACATTCTCCTGGAATAATATCAAATCCAACACACATGATATGATTTCAAATTCTGGATTTTTCAACCCAGTTTGGGAATACGCCTTCCATTCAAATGAAAAATTGTAAAAATGTATGTAGATGTCTGTATATGTACAATTTTATCATTCATCTAAGAGAGAAATCTCGAAGTTATCTCCAGAGACATATAGATTCAAACATTTCGTGTTTGACTGTTCCAATTGCCATCGCCAGATTTCATTTCATTTGCTGCAAGGGAAAAAAGACGAGTCATGTAACTGAGTTGAGATCAAACATTCAAATGAAATTATAAAAAAAAATATTAGAATTTCAGGGAAGTACAATAATTATGGAGGCGAATTTATCTGTATGTGAAGATATGCTTTTGGAATGGATGCTCTGAATAAATTACTGTTCAGAGTTCTCTTCACAATCCTCGACCATTCTCAAAGGATACTAATCACAATCAGCATCCAAGACCGTTGGGGTATTCAGTGTCGCTGTTGCGTTCATCTGCTACTCTAGAAGATGATTGATTTTCAAGTGCTGTATCCACCAATCGCATTACGTAGATGCTTCCTGTGCATGTCGAATCAATTTTTATCGGAGAAAGCACACATTCTTCATTGTATTAAAACATTATTTATCTACTCCTATTAAATTATATATCAATGATTCAACTGCCTTTGTACAATTAATAGTATCTGTAAACAAACAGCGTGAGTTATAATAACTCTCGCTACTATAACTCACTATAATACTTACATCGGGAAAGGCTCTTGGAATTATTTACGAACCGAAAATCAAGATGGCTCAGTAGTTCTGTACAAGCCAGTTGGCCGAAAGGGAACAGTACATTTTGTTATTGAGGGGAGTGATGTCAATTGAATAATTTTGACGTTTTCAAACTAGGCTGATACAATTATTGTGATTTTTTTGATGAATTCAGATAGTGAAGATGAATTATCATTTAAATTTCCATATGGAAAATATCACTCACAAAGAATGGCATTGATGAATTTGGAGCAATGGGGAAAGACATTGCCACATTTCTGAAATTACCAGACTGTAATTTATATACAGGGCATTGTTTTCGCCGCTCATCGGCAACTTTATTAGTAGATGCCGTACGGCACTGAAACGCCATGGCGGTTGGCGATCAACTACTGTGGCTGAGGGGTACGTTGCTGATTCCGAAAAGAATAAGACAGATATTGAAAATGAAATATACAGTTCTATAACAGCTCAATCAGTTAGTACATCAACAACATATATGCAACAAACACAAAAAGGCACAATAATTTTCCATAATTCAGTTCCACATATTCAGTTTACTGGTTGTTCAAACTTCACAGTTAATTTTTTCAATAAACAAAATAAGTGATTAAATCTAAAATTTGTATCAAGTATATTGAGATTTGTCATTAAAGTTCTTTCTCTGTACTTGTAACTTAGTATTTATTGTAATAGTCGTAGATAAAGTATAGTATTCAACTTGCGGTAATGGTCATAACTCACTTGATGAATTACAGCACTCGCCTGTGGCTCGTGCTGCAAACTTCATCTGCGTGAGTTATGACCTACATCACCGCTCGTTGAATAATATACTATTATTTCCATATATAACTCACATTATAACAGTTACCTACAGAAAACATAATGTTCTGTCATTATCCTCAGCACATGCAAGTTTCTTGTATCTTGAAGTAAGCAGATAGTCTCTAAAATGAATAGTTCAAAAATTGTTAATATTTTGTTCCTGCAGAAAATTGGCCAACACGAGTTGATCTTTTTTTTTATTATCGCTTGGAGCGCATCATGAAAGGGAATCCCTATAATGTTCACAGAACATCGTGCGTTCCTAGGGAGGATAGGGATAGGAGGTAGGTATTGGAATTTTTTTGAAACTTCTTGAGATTATATATGTTGTTGGGAATACTTCCTCAGGCAATGAATTTCAGAGCCTAGCCGTTCTATGGATGAGGGAGTTTTGATGAAGTGCTGATCGACATCTTTGGAGGTTGACAACGAAAGGATGTGCTGACTGGGCTTGTCTAGTTTGTCTGACTGGTATTGCTAGTGAAGGGATGATAGCAGAGATTTCTGAAGAACATTTCCCGTGGAAGTATCGATAGAAAAGTGAAAGGTCGCCGACCTTTCTACGGTGTTCCAATGATGTCAAATAGTGAGTGAGTGTAGCGTCACCCACTAGGCAGATGGCTCTTCTCTGGGTGGAATCTAAAAGCATCAGCGTATGTTGTGGTGCCGAACCCCATATGTGAGAACAGTATTCTAGAACAGGCCGTATCTGCGCTTTGTAGATCATGAGAAGCTGTTGAGGTGTAAAGTAGCTTTTCGCACGGAACAAGAATCCGAGTTTTTGTGAAGCAGCTTTTGCGATGGATATGACATTATTATCCCATGAAAGAGTGTTGGTGATGGAAATACCGAGCATAGAATAATTCTGATATGGTTGGCTTGGTGGGGATGATGGTGCCATACATAACAATGTGGGGCATACTGAGTTCCGCCTTTCTAGAAAAAATACAGGCTTGAGTTTTGGTGGCGTTAAATCCAACTAGGTTGGTGGTTCCCCAGGCTGTGATTTCAGCAAGGTCTCCATTACATCATTTACCTACCTGTGCCGTGAGTTCTTAGTTTCCTGGGAAGAAATGGGAATTCTGGAAGAGAACGCAGTATGGAGGGTACTATCATCTGCAAAGCTGTGGATGGGGTAAGTTGTTACTCCCAACAGATCATTGATATGAAGAAGAAATAATGTTGGTGCCCAATTTGATCCTTGTAGAACGCCAGAATTGATGCCAATTGTATCAGACGATACACCGTCCACCACCACATGAAGCGATCTGCCTGAAAGAAAACTCGATAAGAGACGGCATAGCTGAGGTGGTAAGCCGTATGATGGTAGTTTGTGGAGGAGTCCTTCGTGCCAAACACGGTCGAATGCTTTCGATATGTCCAACGCGACAATTTGAATATTATTCTCAAAGCTCTTTTCTGGATAACGAATATACTTTGCATCAAGGTCTGGCTGCCTGAAAGGAATTCCATATCGGAATAGTATCCTTGATTAATGTATGTAGGTATTGCTGCTGAAAATCCGGGTTCGTGAGATATGACATTTATGGCGAAGCAACCATAAAAGCAGTAATTTGCGTATCAAATTTCAAATTACTGTCTATGAATATACCAAGGAATTTAGTTACAGGCTTACTTTCAATCATGCGTTCACCTAGTATTACTTGTTCTAAGTCCTACTTGAATATGTGGATAGATCGAGTCAAAGTATCAGGATCTTTATTACGCCAAAGTACCGTGGTGTCATACATTAACAAGGTGAATGCTCCAGATATGTCAAGTTTTGTCATATCGTTTATATATAGCAAGAATAAAATTGGGCCTAGGACTGACCCCTGAGGAACTCCA